CCCCCCCAAAGCCCCAGTAGATAGTTGTATGTCATAGTTGCACATCCTGCTAGTTGCTGCATGTGGGACACGGCCTCACCATGGCCAGAGAAGCTGTGCATCAGTGCGCACCCGGGATCCGAACCCGGGCCACCGGTAGCGGAGTGCGCACAAGCCACGGGGCCGGCCCCATATATCTTTCTTGATAACTTCAATTATTTGAAAACAAAGTTTCCACCCGTGTCCATCAACAGATGAATGGGTAAACAAAATGTAGTATGCATATACAATAGAATATTATTCAGCCATAAAAAGAAATTAAGTTCTGATACATGCTACAACAATGTTGTAACGTTATCCTGAGTGAAATAAGACAGACGCAAAAGGACAAATATTCTTTGGTTCCATTTATATGAAATATCTAGAGTAGGCAGATTCATAAAGTCAGCAAGTAAATTAGAGTTTACCAGGGAAAGGGGGCAGTGAAGAGTTATTGCTTACTGGGTACCGAGTTTCTGTTTGGGGTGATGAAAGAGTTTTGGAAATAGATAATTGTACACTTAAAAAATGGTTAAAATGGGGGCCGGCCTGATGGCGTAGTGGTTAAGTTCGTGCGCTCTTCGGTGGCCCGGGGTTCGCAGGTTCGGATCCTGGGCACAGACCTATGCCCCTCTCATCAAGCCATGCTGTGGCGGTGTCCCATATAAAGTAGAAGAAGATGGGCATGGATGTTAGCCCGGGGCCAATCTTCCTCAGCAAAAAGAGGAGGATTGGCAACGGATATTAGTTCAGGGCTAATCTTGCTCACCAGAAAAAAAAAAAAAAAAGGTTAAAATGGCAAATTTTGTTATATATTTTTACCACAATTTTTAAAAAATTAATAATATATCAAAAACTATTGAATTGTACACTTCAAATGGGTGAATTGTACGGTATATGAATTATATCTCAATAAGACTTTTTTTTAATGAGGGGGATGTGGGGACAAAGTTTTCTTTTCTTCGGTGATTGTACTTCACCAACAGCTCCTGTCCATCGTTTTTTTGTCTCCTCCCTGCCTACCTCGGCCTTTCCTCTCACCTGGTTCAGAATTTCTGTAGAAACTGGATATTGATCACCAGTGTCCTGAGATTAGGAGTAACCACCAAGATCAAGCCTGAAGGACTCAAGATTCCTGTCGGTGGCAGGCCTGGGGAGGGGGTTATTCTCTCAAACATTTTACTCACACCGCCCCCAGAATGGGGAGCCAGAAAGGATGTCTAGCAGATTTTTAAAGATTCCTCTGGTTGTAGTACGACTCGTTGGGGGCGGGGAGGCAAAAGAGGAGGCCGGGGGACCAGAAAAATGGCTGTTGCGATGATCTAGGCTAGATAGGATGGTGGCTTGAATGAGGGTAGTAGCAGTGGGGATAAAATGGTAATAGCAGTGGGGATGGAGAGGGGCGATTGATCAAGTAGAAACTCTGTACTGAGCTTAGATCTGGTTGGCTGGATAGGAGGCACAGAGGTGGCTAATATGGTTGAGGATCCGAGTGCACAGGGCAATACGGCTGGAGTGTCGGGTGCTTCTAGTCCAGAACTTACGGCGAAGGCTGGCCGAAGGCGGGGCAGAGCGCGGTGGGAAGCTTGGTCCGCCTTCGCGGCCGCTGCTTCTGGGTCCGGCTCGGCCCTGGGCTTCTTTTTGCCACTTCGCGATGGCCAGCCCGGGCGTGGCGCTAGAGTCTCCGCGGCAGCTGCTGGGCCGCGTGCGCTTCCTGGCGGAGGCGGCGCAAAGCCTCCGCGCCGGGCGGCCGCTGCCGGCGGCACTGGCTTTCGTGCCGCGCGAGGTGCTCTACAAGCTTTACAAGGACCCGGCGGGACCGTCGCGTGTGCTGCTGCCGGTGTGGGAGGCGGAGGGCCTGGGGCTGCGTGTGGGCGCCGCGGGCCCGGCCGCCGGTACCGGCTCCGGCCCGCTCCGCGCCGCCCGGGACAGCATCGAGCTCCGGCGCGGCGCCTGCGTGCGCACCACGGGCGAGGAGCTGTGCAATGGCCACGGGCTCTGGGTGAAGCTGACCAAGGTGCGCCGTGTCCTGCCCAGGGCCCCACAAAAGACCCTCGGCGCCAGGGAAGCCCCTGGCTGTTCCCCTCCCCTCCCCCATTTTGAGCTGGCATTGCATTCGGTGCCCTTTGCCTTGGGCTGGGCAGGGCGGGCCCTGGGCAGTTCCCTGATGGCTGTCCCTATCTGGGGCGTCCCGGCAGGAGCAGCTGGCAGAACACTTGGGCGACTGCGGGCTGGACGAAGGCTGGCTGCTGGTGTGCCGCCCGGCAGAGGGCGGGGCCCGCCTCGTACCCATCGACACTCCCGACCACCTCCAGCGGCAGCAGCAGCTCTTCGGCGTGGACTACCGCCCGGTGCTCAGGTCCTGCACTTGAAGGGGCGGGGCTCGCTGTCAAACGGCTCAAGGGGTTGGAAATGGGTCTGGCACGCCAGGGAAGTGGGATAAGAAGCGAAGGCAGGGCTAAGAGCAGGAAGGGGCCGGACCTGAAGGGAGCTGGGGTGGAGCTTCTGGGGGCGTGGTTTGGAGGGGATAGAGCTCTGGAGAAGGCTCCAGGGCCTGGGAGGATGGGGGCGTGACCTGCTCCAGTGGCTGTCATCCCATCCCACCCCTACTCTGTGCTCACAGGTGGGAACAGGTGGTGGACCTGACATACTCGCATCGCCTGGGATCGAGGCCTCAGCCAGCCGAGGCATATACGGAAGCTGTACAAAGGCTACTGTGAGTGAGCAGGGATGGGATGGGGAGGAAGGAGCTCCAGGTCTGGGCCCAACCTAATTAGGGACTTGGGGTTGCTTAGCTACGTGCCCCCGACGTGGACCTACGAGTGCGACGAGGACCTGATCCACTTCTTGTATGACCACCTGGGCAAGGAGGATGAGAACCTGGGTAGCGTGAAGCAGTATGTGGAGAGCATAGACGTTTCCTCCTACACGGTGGGTGCTGGGACTCCCCCACCCCGAGCGAGATGTAGTCACATCTTGCTAGATCCAGAACCCTCACCTCTAGGCCAGAGCCAAACCGGAATCCCCACAGCCAGACTCAGTCCAGCTGCCCATCTTGGAAGTCCTATAGGAACCTCTAAACACCTCTACCCATGCCAGCTGCACTTTTAACCCAGCTCCACTGTGCTGTCTCTCTTGTGCTCCCTGGCCCAAAGCACACCCCAGTGCAGGGAGTGGGGGTAAATGCTGACTCTACCTCTCTGCCCCCCCCCCAGGAGGAGTTCAATGTGTCCTGCCTGACAGACAGCAACGCAGACACCTACTGGGAGAGCGACGGGTCCCAGTGCCAGCACTGGGTACGGCTTACCATGAAAAAGGGCACCATTGTCAAGTGAGTGGGCTCCAAGTAGGACAGGGTGGGTGAGCCACATGTCTGTGAGTGTACAGAGACTCATGTGCATACTCTGACCCCCTAGGAAGCTGCTACTGACAGTGGATACCACAGATGACAACTTTATGCCTAAGCGGGTGGTGGTCTATGGGGGCGAAGGGGACAACCTGAAGAAACTGAGTGACGTGAGCATTGACGAGTGAGCGAGCTGACCTGGGGTAGAAGGTGGGGCATGATCCCAGCAATGGGGCCTGCCGCAGCTTGGAAGCATAAGGTTGGGTGAGACCCCAGCAATCCCTGGAAGCAAGGAGTATCCAAAGTGCCTCACATCCATCTTCTCAGGAGCCTGATCGGGGATGTCTGTGTCCTGGAGGACATGACCGTCCACCTCCCTATCATCGAGATCCGCATCGTCGAGTGCCGAGGTGGGGCTTAAGGTTATAAGGAGGGAAAGGGAGCTCCAGTATGTGGATGGGGGCTAGCTGGCAGTGAGTGTGGAAAGAAGAAGATGGGTTTGGAGTTGGGGTGAAGGTGACAGCTGAACTAACTCCAAGATTTGAAGTTTTGGGGCCTGAGCCGGATGGAAGGTGCTGGGTATAGGCCTGCCTTAAAGCCATAGAGGTGGTTGGGCTCACCTGGGAGAGGAACTGAGTTGGGACCCTCAGGCATCCCAACGTTATAATGGTGAAGGGAGGAACCAGCAAAGAATATAAAATTCAGAATTAGGTGAGAAGAAGGGGACCCTAAAGGTCCCAAGTTTCTCGGGGCTAAGGGTGACAGAAGGCTGAGCACTAGGGAGGCATTCTCAAGTCTGAAGGCCAATAGCAGGTGCAGCAAATGATCTCACTCTGACTTCTTCCCCCAGATGACGGGATTGATGTGCGTCTTCGAGGGGTCAAGATCAAGTCATCTAGACAGCGTGAACTAGGGTTGAATGCAGACCTGTTCCAGCCAACTAGTCTGGTGCGATATCCACGCCTGGAAGGCACTGACCCGGAAGTACTGTACCGCAGAGCTGTTCTCTTACAGAGGTGGCTGTGGTCCTGGGCCTGCCAGGCCCTTCCTTTCCCCCTATCCTGAGTCTTGTATGTCTGTGTAGAGGAGGTCCCCAAGGCTTTATACTGTAAGCTATTCTACTTCAAGGGTCAGAGCAACCCCTGGGCCCTGCCTTCTCCTGTCCTTGTGTGTTGGGGAGTGAGGGGGTCTTACATCCATGCCAAACTCTTTAGCTGCAGTTATCTTTACCCACTCACCCCAGATTCATAAAGATCCTAGACAGCGTCTTGCACCGCCTGGTACCTGCCTGGGACCACACGCTGGGCACCTTCAGTGAGATTAAGGTGAGCCAGGCCCACCCAGTGCTGGTCTTGGCAGTGGGCTCCCCCTTTCTGCTCATGTAGTCGTTTACTCTTCAGCAGAGAGTTCTTAAAACCTACTCTAGGCCTGGACCTTTGCTGGCCATGGGAACATAGGAAGAAAGCCAGACATAAATAGCCAAAATTTAGTGTTTGGGGTGCTATTTCCCAAATTGTGTGTGAAATATACAAGAGCTGGGGGAGGATAGGTGACAGCATGGACAGGGCAGTTTGCATAAAAGGTACATACTGGGAGTTACCAGCAGCTCAAGATGACTTGAGAGAAGTGTACAGGTAGATGTGAGTATGACATGGGGATGAGGCTGGGAGGGAGTGGTCAGGAGACAGGCCCTGCTAGCAGAGGGCACTGTGGGCCAGGCTATGAAACAGGGACTTTGTCCCAGATCAATGGATCCACTGGAAAAGTTTTAAATAAGGTGATGACAAAGTTAGATTTTTTGTTTTAGAAAGCTCCCCCTGGTGGCTGGACTAAGGGAAGGACTAGAAGCAAGGATGGGGATGGACTAGGCTTGAACTGGAATGGTGGATTGAGTCCAAGCATAGAGAAAGTTTTCAGGGCCTGGACATAGGCTGACTGCCTGCCGGTTCTGTTCTGGCCGCCTCTCCTCACCAGCAAGTGAAGCAGTTACTGCTGTTGTCACGCCAGAGGCCGGGCCTGGTGGCCCAGTGCCTACGAGACTCAGAGAGCAGCAAGCCTAGCTTCATGCCACGCCTGTACATCAACCGGCGCCTTGCCATGGAACACCGCGCCTGCCCCTTAAGGGACCCCGCCTGCAAGAACGCGGTCTTCACCCAGGTCTGGACCACCTGGGGTTGGACTAAGGGAGGGTCAGTGAGGGGCCTAGGGGGCTGGGCCGAGAGGGACCTGAGCAAGGTCTTTGGGCAAGAGTGGGGCCAGGTCTTGACACAGACTTTCCTACAATTCCCTCCCCCAGGTTTATGAAGGCCTCAAGCCCTCTGACAAGTATGAAAAGCCCCTGGACTACAGGTATGGCATGAGGTTGAGGGAGTTGCTCAGGGCACACATGTACACCCACACACTGCCTCTGGTACCCCTCACCATTACCCCTCTGTAGCCCCTGCTCCTGGCTGGTGAATCATCCAAGCCCTGGCCCAGCATGATGACAGAGATCCACCCCTACTTACAGGTGGCCCATGCGCTATGACCAGTGGTGGGAGTGTAAATTCATTGCAGAAGGCATCATTGATCAAGGTGAGGCCCTGAAGGAGGATAACAACGATTCTGCCCTATTTAGAGTGATAGAGTCTTCTGAGGTCACCAGCTAACCAAGATAGGGGATCTGCTTATTACCCCATTACGGGGGATGGGCCTCTCGAGTGCCCCAGCTGAGGGCATCTGTCATTTCAGGGGGTGGTTTCCGGGATAGCCTGGCAGACATGTCAGAAGAGCTGTGCCCTAGCTCGGCGGACACCCCTCTGCCTCTGCCCTTCTTTGTGCGCACGGCCAACCAGGTAATTTCCCACCCCTACCTCCTGAGTTGTTTCTGCTATTCTCTCTCTGCAAACCTCCCAGGTACCAGGCGGAGCTAGAGAGGGGGCAGAGGAGGGACCGAGTGGCCCAGGGCAGCCTCTGGGCAGGAGCCAGTATACATTTAGAGGAATCCTTCAGGGCCCCCACTAGAGGTGTTTGGGGAAGGCTTTGGGGAATCTGGGGCAACAAAGTAGGGTCCATCCCATGCCTTGCTGACAGATTTTTCTTGGGGGCAGGGCAATGGCACTGGTGAGGCCCGGGACATGTATGTGCCCAACCCCTCCTGCCGAGACTTTGCCAAGTACGAGTGGATCGGACAGCTCATGGGGGCTGCCCTTCGGGGTAAGGAGTTCCTGGTGAGTAGCCTAATCTGCACCCCATCAGATCAGCCCTGGCCCCTGGAAGGAAGAAGGCCAACCAAACCTGGGCAGCTCAGGGTGAGAAGACAGTAGTGAGTATTTGTCCCACAGGTCCTGGCTCTGCCTGGTTTTGTGTGGAAGCAGCTCTCTGGTGAGGAAGTGAGCTGGAGCAAGGACTTCCCAGCTGTGGACTCTGTGCTGGTGAGTGGGGCCTAGAGCCAGTGTTTCCTCTGCCCAGCCCCTGAAGGGCTGCTTCTCCCCAAGGCTGTTCTGAACTTTCTCTTACCACACACGCGCTCCTCCAATGCCATTGACTTCCATGGCTTCAACTACTGTCTCTATTCTGGTAACCCCTAAATCCTTACGTCCAGCCCCAGCCTCTCTTCTAAACGTAGGGCCATATATGCATCTGCCCCAAGATGGCGCCTCAGGCTCAGTACATTCTTTATCTTCTCTCTAGTCTACTGCCCTCTAGGGCTCCCTGTCTCAGAATGGTACTACCACCCACGCCTCCCCATGCCCAGACCCTCAGGGTCATCCTTCACTCCTTTCTCTCTCACCTCCCATGTTCTGTCACATCTCCCTCTGGAATCTGTCCACATCTCCCACCTCACTACTATCCCCCTGGTTCAGGCCACCTTCCTTTCTGACTGACTGCAAAAGCTGGTGTCCTTGTGTCCGTTCTTACCCATCTGATCCAGCAGCCAGAGTAATTTATTTCACTCTTCTCATTTAAATCCTTCAATCACTCTGCCCTGGGCTTAGGATAAAATGCAGAAACTGGAAAGGCCTTATATGACTCCTGTATCTCTGGCCACTTGGTTCACGTCCAAGGTCCAGCCAAACAGATTCCTCAGGTCTTTTGTTTTTTGCACCTTTGTCCAAGACACGCTCTCTCCTGACTTCCTTGTGGCCCTGCCAATTCCTAGCCATCATCTGGGTCTCAGCTTAGATGTCATTTCCTCCAAGCCACCTTCCTGGCCTCCAAGGCTGCCTAGGTGTTATCTTGATGCTTTCACAGCTCTTGTACTGACCCCCTCACTGCCCTCATTGCCTGCATGGGGACTGCCTTGCCTGGCTATCTCTCCTGCTTCCCTATGAGCATCTTGAGGAAAAACAAGGACTGTCTCCACAATGAAAAGCTGACCTCCCCACCTCTCTCCAACCCCCAGGTGAAACTCCTGGAAGTGATGGAAGGAATGGACAAGGAGACATTTGAGTTCAAATTTGGGAAGGAGCTAACATTCACCACTGTCCTGAGTGACCAGCAGGTGGTAGAGCTGATCCCTGGGGGTGCAGGCATCGTGGTGGGATATGAGGACCGTTCCCGTTTTATCCAACTGGTGCAGAAAGCACGGCTAGAGGAGAGCAAGAAGCAGGTACTACCCAGAGGCCAGTAGAACAGAGTGCTTTGGACAGCTCCTAGTAGCCAGAGCCCAGCCTGATAGGCCACCAGTACCCAATCCCAAAAACTATGGCCCCCACCATTCCTCTGCCCCACATTCCTGCTGATCAGTGGGGTACCGATACCCCCAGTGCTAGGCAAAGACCATGTCCTCCATTATCTCCACGAGTGGAGGCCATGTGTCCCCGGCACACACTGAGCTGGGAGTTGTGTCCTCTTCCCCAGCCAGGCCTTTTCCCCTCTCCCCAGGTGGCAGCTATGCAGGCAGGTCTGCTGAAGGTGGTGCCGCAGGCTGTGCTGGACTTGTTGACCTGGCAAGAGTTAGAGAAGAAGGTGTGCGGGGACCCAGAGGTCACCGTGGACGCTCTGCGCAAGCTCAGTGAGTGTGGAGCGGGGCAGTGCAGTGTGAGTGTGGGGCTTATGGACTGGGTAGGTTGGCACCTAAGAATGAATGGCCTTATGCCCGCCAGCCCGGTTTGAGGACTTCGAGCCATCTGACAAACGCGTGCAGTATTTCTGGGAGGCGCTGAACAACTTCACCAATGGTCAGTGGAAGAGGGCAGAGTAATGCCTGGGTTCAGACTCTCCGTGTGAGATAGAGGCGGGGTGGAAGTTGCAGAACCTCCTCCAGCATCTGTGCGGACACTGATTTTCTTCTCCATCCAGAGGACCGGAGCCGCTTCCTGCGCTTTGTCACGGGCCGCAGCCGTCTGCCCGCACGGATCTTCGTCTATCCGGACAAGCTGGGGTGAGTGTGGAGGGGAGGTCCGAAGGGGCTGTGGCCGGCCTTCTACCCTCCCCCCACACACACATACTCACATGTCAGACCCCTCTCTGTGCCCCTACAATTCTTCCTGATCTATGGCCCCTCCATACCCCCAGCTACGAGACCACAGACGCGCTGCCTGAGTCTTCCACCTGCTCCAGCACCCTCTTCCTCCCGCACTATGCCAGGTGGGTTTCCTAGGCTCAAGCCTAGAGAGTGGGGAGTAGGGGGAAGAGGTAGCATCCTGGGATGGAGGAGGACTTCCGGTACTGAAGTACACAAACTGAGCCCCAGCGGCCCTGGTAATGGTGAAGAGACCTCTGCACCTGGCGCTGACCAAGCCTCTGCCCCCCCGCAGCGCCAAGGTGTGTGAGGAGAAGCTCCGCTACGCGGCGTACAACTGCGTGGCCATCGACACCGACATGAGCCCTTGGGAGGAGTGAGTTGGCACCAGGGGACAGCTGCGGGCCGGGCCGGCAGGACTGAGCCTACATAGGTCCTACTCGGCCTCGCCCAGGGCAAAGACACCCTCCCTGGACCAGTTGGGGTCTGTGCTCCACTCTCGATGTGAGCTGACTGCACTCAGAAGCCAGCACGCACCACCCCTGTATGCGGTTGGAGTAGGGGTGGTGGGTTGACACTGGTGGCCCAGCCCCGCAAGCCGTTTGCGTGCTTGGGCTTGTTTCTCAAGTTGTCGAGAGGGAATCTTCCACAAGCCCAGCACAAGCTGCCAGGCCGGAGCTACTTGAAGGGGATCTTCTAGCTTCCCATCCCATGGACTTGGCTTCAGTTTTCAGCTCTTCCCTTTTTTCTTCTTGTTTTTCTCTGGCTTCTGCCTGGACTCAAAACTAAAAACTTTGGAGGGTGGTGGGGGTTCCTCCCCAAACAAGGCACCAGGGATGGATAGGAAGTTATGGTCATCCTCCTTGGTCATCTGCCCCAAGAATGAAGCAACAACTGAGTACCCCCTCCCTCACATACTGGTCTTTTCCTCCTCTCCCTCCATACCCAAGGTGTGAGCCCTGTCCTTCTTCGTCCAACCCAATCTCAACTGACAAAGTGCCACCACTTTCCCTGGCTCAGAACCTACATCTATGTAACATTAAATCTTTACTGCCACTGCCACCACAGCATATTCATCACTTCTGCATCACCTCCAGCCTGATTCCCCATCTGCTATCTCACCCCCAAGATTGTGCACAGGTTAAGGCCAGTTATGTCCTCTCTGAAATCTTCAGTAGCTCCTCTTTACCCAATTCTAAAATAAAGCCTAGATTTTAAAACTGCTTCTAGGCCTTATGCATGCCGCTGCCCCTGCCCCAGCCCTCCCTCCCTTAGGGACCTCCATGACACTCCATCTAAGAAGGTCTTGCACATGGGAAAGTTGAATAAATGGATGAGTTCATTCCTTCAGAATGTGTTTACTGGGCTCCTGAGGGATGTTAGAGCAGGCTCTTCCAGGACTTCAGGGCCCTGCTGGGAGCCAAAGAGATGTGTGTCAAGTGGCAGTGGTGGGGCTTCTCAGTGGCAAACATTACATCTGGAGCTGAGGAGGGAAATAAGGACCCCACTGCCCAGAAGAAGAAGAAAAAGGCTGGCCTGGCGTTTTCTGGGATGGGTGCGGTGATTTGGAAGATGGGATTCCACTTTCAGGAACCAAATAGGCAGAAGACTTTAACATCGTAGAGGACAAAGCCTAGCAGATGGCTGATAAAGCAGCCGGGTCAGGATTTTGACAGAAGAGGAGGCAGCAGCATTGCTATCCACCCCGCACGCCGCCTCCAGTTGCCTCACAGCTAAGGTGCATGCAGTCTTTAAGAACAAGTAGCCAGTGAGAGACCTCGTGCGGATACAGTCCCCCCACAGCGGGCAGTCGCCCTCAAGTACGGTCCCAAGTGAAGGGGCATGCGCGGGGTCGCGCTCTCCCATCTCTTCCCCACGCCGTCCTCTAGGGCGCGCCCTGACGCTGCCCTGGCTGGGAAATTCCGGGCGGTGGCCTTGAGCCTCCTCCCCCGGGGCTGTGCACACCCCGAGGCCTATCTCCCCATAACTCTGAGTCTAACCACCCCAGCTGAGCCTCCTGGGCAGCCCTCGTGTTGCAGCTCCCCAATCCCTGCGCCTTGGGTGGTCCACAGAAGACATCCCCCCCCTTCCTTCGGCAGCCCCTTCCCGCCCAAGAAGCTGAAGGATTAGGAGCCCCAGCGGCCGCCACACCCACCCAGCTCGGCTCTTCCCAGCAAGCTCTTCCCAGCAAGCTCTTCCCAGCAAGCTCTTCCCAGCAAGCTCTTCCCAGCAAGCTCCCGCCTCCTTGTCCCGCCCATCCCTCGGAGGCGCCCCTTCCCCTTCTACCCACTTAGGGAGGGGCCTGGCCAGCAAGCGCCTGCAGGTGGTAATCCGTTTCTGTGTCTGGTACTGGCCACATGTGTCTTTGGTCCCTCTCTTACCAAATTGAACTCAGATTATATTTTTTAGCTTGCTTTTCATTTAATCACTCGTTCATTCTCTGAGTGAATGCATTCATTCATTTAGTGAATACATCGAGCACCTGTCAGGCACCATCCTAGGTGCAATGGATAAAATAGTGGCTAAACAGAAATAATTTTTGCCCTCTTGGGATTTAAACTCTAATGGGAGAGACATATATTAAACAAATACATAATCGCATAAACAATACTTAATAACATTTGTGTAAGAGCTCCAAAGGAGAATTGAGGGGTATTGTTAGAAGACAGAAAAGGATGTTCTAACCAACGGGCTCGATGGAATGCTAAATCCTTAGGGAGACTAACTGGGCACAAAGGCCACCTGAGAAGCATGTTGAGTCCCCTGTTACTGGAGTATGAAGGGAAGAGAAAGAAGAGACTCCAGCCTTGGAGGCCTGTTTTAGGATTTTGCAATGAGCAGCCATTAGAGCATCAAGCAAGGGAGTCACATGATTAGATATGCCTTTGGCAGCTGTGTAGAGAATGAGTTGAGAGAGACTGGAGGCAGAGAGTAATCCAAACAGGAAATGATGGTCAATGGGACAAGGGAGATGCTCATTTTAATCATTATTTTTATTGGCTGCATTGTATTACATTGTAAGGAATTTTCATAATTTTTATTCATTTAAAACCCTCTACAGATGGACATTAAGGTTGTTTACAAATTTTCGATATTGAAGACTACAGAGGTTACGATAAGCGTCCTCATGCATATATCCTTTCATACCCAGTTGATTATTTCCTTAGAATAACTTCCTAAAAGCACTTCATCAAACTGCCAAATTGCCAGTTGTATCCTGCCAAATTGCCAGGATGTATCAATTTTCACTCCCTTTAGTGTCTATTTCCTAAACTTTTATCAACTTTGGGTACTAACACTTAAAAATGTTTTTTGAGGGGCCGGCCTGGTGGTGCAAGTGGTTAAGTGTGTGCGCTCCGCTGTGGCGGCCCGGGGTTCGCCGGTTCGGATCCTGGGCATGCACCGACGCAGCGCTTGTCAAGCCATGCTGTGGCGGCGTCCCATACAAAGGCATGGATGTTAGCCCAGGGCCAGTCTTCCTCAGGAAAAAGAGGAGGATTGGCATGGATGTTAGCTCAGGGCTGATCTTCCTCACAAAAAAAAAAACAAATTGACAATTTAATGTGCTGAAAAAATGGTATGATTATTTTAATTTGCATTGCTTTGATTATGTACTATATTGAGCAATTGTTTTTATTCTTTATGAACTGCCCTTTATGTATTTTTGTCCATTTTTCTATTGGCTTCATTATACTTTTCTTATTGATTTGTAACAATCTTTGCATAGTACTAAAATAATAAGCACAGCAAGGCATTGTGCTAAGTCCTGTACATCTGTTATCTTGTTTTATCTTCTCACTCTGTGAAGTAAGTACTATTATTGTGCCCATTTCCAGATGAGAAACCTAGAACAAAGATGAATTAAGTAATTTGTCCAGGATCATGTAAGTAGTAAGTGATGAAGCTAGAATTTGGATGGTAGTCTGCCAGCTTCAAAGCCTGCTAAAGTGGTAACGAAGTGTTATATCCTGTATATTAACCCTTTGTCATGTCAGGTGTTGCAAATATGTTTTCCCAGTCTGTACTTTGCCATTTAATTTCATATATGTTCTTTCCTAATCTGCAAAATTTTAGTTTTTTATGAATTCAAAATCTTTACAGAAGAAACCATATATTGGATATATACCATGGGAAGACGATATAGTACACTAGTTAAGAGCACATCTCTAGAATCAGCTTTTCTGTGCTCCTATCCTGGCTTAACCACGCACCAGCTGTTGACCGTGGACAACAGCTAAGGATTTTCCACATCATTGGCCAGTCTCCTCAGCTTCCTTTTTTGAAGTCCTTTTCCTTTTAGCATTGAGTTGAAATGCTACCTTTTCACATACTTATCATCTTTTTATGCTAAATTTTTATGTATAAAAAAATCTTCAGGGGCCGGCCCCGTGGCTTAGCGGTTAAGTGCACGCGCCCGCTGCTGGCAGCCCGGGTTCGGATCCTGGGCGTGCACCGATGCACTGCTTCTCTGGCCATGCTGAGGCCGTGTCCCACATACAGCAACTAGAAGGATGTGCAGCTATGACATACAACTATTTACTGGGGCTTTGGGGGAAAAAAATTAAAAAATAAAAAATAAATAAATAAATAAAATCTTAAAAAAAATCTTCATTTTGCACAGTAGTGCCAGACTGTAAAAATGACCCTGCAAGTTGAAACTGAGCGAAGTTTCAGTTCTTAATAATCAATGGAAGAAAGTACCATTGTTCTGTGACCTTTAAAATTTTCTTACCAAAATGTTAACTCTCTTACTGTCAATTATAAATGTATAGGGAAATGAAAAAATCGTGAAACTAATATTTATTTAGTACATTGTAATCTAAAGCATTTAGAAAGATTGAGAAATCTTTGTAAAAGATTTCTTTGTAAAAAATCTTATCAAGAGTAGTTTGAACAGTGCTTGCCTCTTTTTTCTTGTCTTATAATATAGAGCAAGCATCTTTACTATGCCTTGATGAATTGTCATATTCTTTTTTGTTTGGATCAGCTTCCAACATTTTATTCTTTGTACTTTGAATTTCATGAAATATCTTTGAGAATTCCTTTAATGTGAAGTTTTTTCCCCTGTCATCACTTCCTCTGGGACATCCTCATCCTTTTTGTTATAAGCACTTTCCTCATTTATGTCAATAAGGTTACCTTCACTAAGTTCCTCTGGCTGCATATCTATACTCTCTCATGACAGCAGTGTCAACGTTCCCATGATCAGCTATTTCTTCTATAACTCTATATGTTCAATTTGAATTTCACTTCCAGTATTATCACTTTTCTTTTTTTTTTTTTTTTGCTGCACTTTCATTTTGTTGGCCAATTCTCAATTATCCATTTTTTAAAAAATGTTACATGGGTTTATCACTGGGAAACAAGCAACACAACTACATTCTGTCTATATATGAACTGAATAAGAGATGCGTAGTGACTAATCACCAACAGACTGAAGGAAGTGACATGACTGTTCACTGCTCACGATGCATATCCAAAAGAGTTGATTCTGACAATTTTGACAGTATTCTCATTGCATTTATGGAGGAGAGAATTTTTGGAGGCCCTTACTCCACCATTTTTATTGATGTCACCTGTTCCTTTTGTATTTGCTTCTAAATTTAGATAGAAAGTTGTAGAAAGATTTAAATGAGACACAAGTCCCAAATTTCAATAACCTCTATAGAACTCTAAGACTTTATCGTTGTCAATGTGGTGTTCTTTCTCTCCCTGTCCCTCCTCCCTGCCTAACTTATTCTTATTCCTAAAGTACTTACCACCTTTTAACATGCTGTACAGTTTACTCATTTATTATTTAAACTTCTTTATAATGTATGCTGCCTCTCCCTGCTAGGATGAGGGCTGGATCCTTTTTTGTTCACTAATATATGCTAAAAGCCTAAAACTGTCCTTGGCACATAATAGTCACTCAGTAAATAGTTGTTCAATAAATATATGAACTGTGGCCCATAAACCATACTTTCCAATTTAAAAAACAAGGAAAATAAGCCATCTGAGAAGTTTTGTTTTCAATAAAGGAGGAAAAATTACCAAATTGATTAAATCACTTATTTTTAAAAATGACCCATTAGTTTAGAGCATAAACGTCCAGATTCTGACCTTTGAAACCACCAACAATGAAAATTCTGTGTGCTTGAAGGGAAATAAGGAAATATGAAGTCCTAATTAATGAAGGTTCTTTCCAAGCTCTTTATGTAAACACTGTAGCATCATTTGCTCTCTAACTTATCATGAATCTATTATGCAACTGCTGGGCTTATGTACAAAAATAAAACACAAATATTTTAGGACCTGCAATTGGTTGCCAAAGTAGAGTTTCTCTTTTCATTTTTATCTTTCACTCAGTACTTTAAAAATAATAATTCCCTGTCCCGCTGACAAATCCACAGCCAAATGGAGTAGATGAATATTGTGATGTGGCCAGCAAATTCCCCAAGAGAGCTCTCTTGCAGACCGTGGGAAGAGTATTTCTGAGCCAAGGCCCAACTTTTGAAAGGTTTCTTTTGTATCCCACAGTTCAAAGAGACCTTTAGAGCTTGACCTTCTTAAACTATTCTCCCACCACAAACGAACACAAACACATAAATGTCCCTTGGGGAAGAAATGTGTACAGGAAACAAACATTATAGGGAACAGCCTGTATTCAATAAGCATTTATTAAGTACTTCCCATGTAATTAATAAATAAAAATAAATAATAAGCATGAGGCTAGGCATGAGGGATAACAATATGGATTGACTTAGTGAGAAGGAACATCCAGGAGAAGAGATGTTGTCAGTGACTCAGGCGCTCAGCCCAATTTTCCCATCACCAAATGGGAGGTCAAGGGAAAATTTATGAGAAATTTGTAACTCATTCCATATTATTTACTTAGAATGTCCCAGGTCCTGTGCTAGGACCTGGGGAGAGAGGAGCAAATAAGATACAGCCTTTGTCCTCAAAGGGTTCCCAGTGTGATAGAGAAGACATGAAAAGGGGGATGACAGTCCTTTGTGGTGAGTGCCATAATGTGAGGACTAGAAGCAGTGAGAGCCAGACAGAAGAAATCCACAAGGCAGCAGTTCTTAAAGTATGCTTTGTGGATTTCTGGGAGTCCCTAAGACCCTTTCAGGGGATCTGTCAGGTCAAAACTATTTTCATAATAATACTAAAACATTATCTGCCTCTTTCACGGTATTGGTATTTGCCCTGATAATGCAAAAGCAATGGTGGATAAAACTGCTGGTGCTGTAGCATGAATCAAAGCAGTGATACCAAACTGTACTAACAGTCATTGTATTCTTCACTGCCACACACTTGCAATAAAAATGAAAAAATAATAAAGCAAGGTAAGTTTCACTTAAGAATGTCTTTGATGAAGCAATAAAATAATTTTATTAAATCTTGGTCCTTGAGTACATATCTTTTTAGTATCCTGTGTGATGAAATGGAAAGTACACATATAACACTTCTGTGCATACCAAAGAAGTATGACGGTTGTTTCCAGGAAAAGCACTTGTGTGATTGATTTGTGACTACTGTTTTTTTCACAGAACACTATATTTACTTGAAAGAACAACTAACAAACTATGGCCAAGAATTTATGAAAATGAATGAAGTAAGCCAGTCACTTCAAGGAAAACCATTAACAGTATTTGTTGCCAGTGATAACGTTTGAGCTTTCAAGAGAAAATCAGAACTTGGGAAAACTTGTATCTGTAATCATAAGCCTGCCAGCTTTCCAATATTTAAGGACTTTTCTAATGAGATTGGTGGTGATACTAACAACTGTGATTTTTTAAAATATTGTATAATTGAGTCAACATTGGGAAGATCTGCATAACTCAGTGAACCAATATTTTACAAATGATCAATGCATCGAGTTGCAAAATTATACATGGGTAAAATGTCCATTCAAAGTGCAAGTATTTAACAGAGTACAAAATGTTCATTGCTGTACATCGCAACTAATCTTGAACAAACTACCATTTATTGAGTTTTGGTGTAGTATCAAAGAATACCTACAATTATTTATCTGACAAGGCTATTAAAATACCTCCCCCTTGGGGCCGGCCCTGTGGCGTAGCGGTTAAGTGTGTGCGCTCTGCTGCTGGCGGCCCGGGGTTCGGATCCCAGACGCGCACCGATGCACCATGCTGTGGCGGCCTCCCATATAAAGTGGAGGAAGATGGGCATGGATGTTAGCCCAGGGCCAGTCTTCCTCAGTAAAATGTGGGGGATTGGCATGGATGTTAGCTCAGGGCTGATCTTCCTCACCAAAAAAAAAAAAAAAAAAATACCTCTCCCATTTCCAACTATGTAGCTGGGTGATGTCAGGTTTTCATCATATAATTCACCCAAAACAATATACTATTGCAACTGATCCAGCTGTTTTCTATTAAGCCAGACATTAAAGATATCTGCAAAAAGGTGAAACCATGGCATTCTTTTCAGTCAATTTTTTGTTTTGAAAACATAGTTACATGTTTTCATAAAAATGTTAATTGTTACCATGTAATGGTTTTAGAATTTTTATATTTTAAATGAATTAATGTTTTAATTTCTCAGTTTGAATTTTTAATACGGGTAAATATCAATAAATATAATCCATATAAACAAAAGTTCTTTGGAGTCCCCAATAATTTTTAAGAGTGTAAAGGGTCCAGAGACCAAAAAGTTTGAGAACCGCTGCCCTAAGGAAATAATTTAAAGTGAGTTTTAACTGAAGCAATCTCTCAACTACTTTCCTCAACTAGAGGAGAAAGTCCTCTGATTCTCTGAAAACATTTGCTAGTTTAAACGTGAGCATTTAAAATGGATGACAGATAAGCAGTTGAATGCTGTTTTTACTTCATAACTAGTTCTTACCTCAAAACTATGCTGTAATCCCCAAGGCTTCTGTTTGCTTGAGCTAATACCAAGGAGAGAGAGAATCTTGCTGCAGAAGGAAAGAGCAGTCAAGTTTCAGGCCTCCTGTGGCCAAATCAATCACTCCACAGCTCCCTTTTACCAACACACTCAGTGTTATATTTGAGTTAAAATAAATAATTATTCAATAACTCATCACCAGCATCCTACAGTGAAGGAGAGGCAGAGCAGGGATAGGCTGATTTTATGGATATGGCCTCAGGTCTTTTTTTTTTTTTTTTTAGTAGGATCTAACCTGAACTCCCATTCTTCTGGCTGAAAGTCTGGGGAAAATTACAAGTCCTGCCTTTCTCTTTGCTGTATCCCCAGCGTTTAGCATCTAAAACATCACTTGGCACATATTAGGCACTCAATAAATAGTGTTGAATAAAGTCAAACTCCTTTATTTTTATTGCAGAAATTAGATTCTGCCTCTTAACTGGCAGGCAGCTAAAGCAACTCAAGGTTTAAGAGATGGATAAAAAATGAGGAAGTTTCCAAAAGATTAGGAAATTGCAGGAATGTGTGGGAAAGAGAGAATGACTATTGTTCTTGTGAAAGATGACATGAGTGGAGCCATATTAAACTAACCAGAGCAGCCATTTCAGAGGAATTGCCTTGCACATCTTGTTTTCTGTATCTTCCAAACTGGACCAAACTGCCAACATTCCAAGAAGTCAGTTAGGACAAGAATATCCTGTCTGTAAGGACTGATGGTACTGGACTTTGCTGATAACCGGATTGCTAACCAATCAATGAAGTACAGGTCTAGCCTTTTGCCTGATGATCAAACCTCAAGCCAATCTATGACGTACAAACCTAGCTTTACCTTATCTAGCACCAATGGTCTCTTCTTTAATACAACTCACCTCATCCTCCCTTTTCCTGTAAAAACCCTAAGCCCCTCTTCTGTAATCCGGACACTTTGGGTTTCTACCTGAATCTGTGCTCTCGGAATTGCAATTCTTTGATCCCAAATAAACACTTTGCCTCTTAAACTGGTTTCTGTTTTTGTAGGTTGACATTCCTGTTACTTACTGCAGCTTAACAAACCACTGCAAAAATTTCTGCTTAAAGCAACAATTATTTTATTATCTTTCACAATCGTTGGGATTTGTCTAGACTCAGGCATTTGGGTTCTCTCATGCAGTTGCAGCCTCTTAAGGAGTCTCCCTGCTTCCAGGGAGTCTATTATCAACACAGCAACTAGTGTGATCCTTTAAAAACCTGTCATATCATGTCCCTCCTCTGCTTAATTCAAGGTCCTCACAATGACCTACAAGACCCACAGGATCTGAGTTCTCCACCCTCTTCCCCGTTGCCTCTATGACCTCCTCTACCATCATTCACTCTCTCTGGCTTACTTTGCTTCAGCCATATTGGCCTCTTTGCTGTTTTTTGAACGTGCAGTCTCTCTTCTGGAACTTTAGCACTTGCTGGCTATATCTTTACCCAAGATATCCACCTGACTCACTCTCTTCAAGCCATTGTTCAGTTTCACCGTCTCAGTGAGGTCTCACTGACCGCCCCCAACCCCCAACCCTCGCGCCCCCGACTGTTTTGATGGCTAAAAGTGGATGTTTTCCGTACCATAACAGTCTGGTTCTGAAAGCCGGTGTGAGTCGCCACGTTAGACATCCTGGACACAGAAAGCCCTGGCAATCCCTAGCCTGCAGGGGCTTTTGGTGATTTCCCCACTGACTAGCCCCAAATTGCAGCTCCCAATAAGCTCTTTTTTCACAGAATGGTAGTTGGGGTCAGGTCCTAGAATGAGAAGTCCCTGAAGGAAGAGACCGTGACTTGTTCCAATCTGGGTTCCAGGAGCCCTGCACTGGGAGAGACATTCAATGGACGTTGTGGTGAACGAACAAAAGGGAAGAGACGGCCCCCTCTCCACGCCTCCCCGCGGCGCGCGCGTGCGTCCAGACCGTCATCTATCGCTCGGCGCTCGTCCCTTCCTGCCCAGCGCGTCCCATCGATCTGCTCGGCCATCGCGCGCCTGCGCCATTGGGCTGTCAGTCGGAGGCGGCGTGGGGAGCGCTGGGAGCTGTTGCGGCGCGCCGGGAGCTGAGGTAAAGCCGTGGCTTCCGTGCTGCCGGGCTGCGCACGAGCTGGCTGGCGGGGATGAGCAGCGCGGTGGCGGCCGCCTTGCCCCGCTTCATCTGAGGGAGGCGGGCTCCTTGAGCCTGGCCGAGGAAGGCCTGAGGGAGCGGGCGGGGGTGCAGAGCCCCAGAGTCGCCAACTCGAGTCCCTGCCCGACCCGGCCCTGGAGCCAAGTGTACGAACTAGAAGGGAGCTTGAGAAGAATCCGAGCCAACCACCTTGTGCAACAGATGGAGAAACTGAGAGTCAGGGAGAGGAGGATCTGCTAGAAGTCACAGCGAGTGAGCACCAGACCCGGGACCAGACGCCCGGAGCACAGTGTCTGGACTCTTGCCACTTCAGTCCTTCATTCATTTATTCTGCCTGCTTTTGGTTGTTTAGGTGCAAGGCAGTGAAACACAAAGAGGATGCAATAAGGTCCGGATGAGAGATCGGTTATGATATAGTATTTTGTCTTGCCGATTTACAAAGGGAGAAGGCAATGAGTGCTATGATGGTGGAGGCGTGTCTGCGATGCCAGGAGCACCCCTTCTAAAGGCTAGCGAGACTGTTCATTGCCTTGATTCCCATCACCCAGAGTCGTGACAGGGACATTGAGACATTCGACAGTCTGCTTGGTATCATGGTTAGTTGTGTTTATGATTGTCACCCAGAACCTCATTGATAGCAGGAACCCCAGTTCCTACTAACCTGGGTTCACGGGGTGGTTGTGAGGTTCACAGATGCTCATTCCACAAACACTGATTGAGTGCCTGGCGTGTCATGGGAATTGTGTTAGATACTGGGAATACAGTGATGACAAACACAGTCAAGGAACTCACGGAAAATAGACGTTTAAATACGTGTGCAATAAAGCCTGTAAAGGCAGAGATGAGCTGTACATGGTAGAGTGGAAGCACCTAAGGGGAAAGGAGTTGCTTCTGCCAGGAGGGTGGGAAGGGTTGGGAATGGCTTTTTAAGCAAGACGATTCTTGAACTGAGTCTTAAAAGTTTAATAGGTGATTACTAGGCACAGGAGAAAGACAACCTAAGAAGCAGGAATAGTGATACAGAGACCAGACTTATGAAACAGCTTGGTTCAGTTGGCACAGAAAGCTTTCATGATCTAGCCTCTTCCTGGTAATATCACACACTCCTATACTGCTTGTCATGGGATTAACGTTATGTGTGCTTTACATAGATTAACTCATTTAATCTTCACAACAACTTTGTGAAGCAGAAACTGTAATTATCCTCATCTTACAAAATGAAGAAAACTGAGGGATAGAAAAGTTGTGTAGCTTGCTTTAGTTCACACAGCTAATACGTGGTAGAGCTGGAATTCACACGCAGGCAGTCTGGCTCAAGAGTCTGTGAACTTAACTGCCAGGCTCTCTCCTAGAAACTGAGGACGTTGAGAGTTTTAAATGTCAGGCCCCTGGTCACATTGCCTGTAAGTGGTAGAACCAGAACTCAAACTCAGGTCTTTTGACACTTAAAGGTCCAGTGCTCCTTTCATAAAAACACCAAATGTGATGGGAGTTATACAGTGCCAAATTGAAGTTAAATTCCAATCTCAGGCAATGCTTGATGGAATCAAAATGACCATACCTTTAGATGTGGATGTTGTGCAAGAGCCTTCACTTTGTGCCTTGGGTGTACCAGCTGTAAGTGCTACAGTTTAGATATTGATGTGAGGGGCCCACAACTGATCATAATTATGGTAAAAGTGCAACATTATTTGCCAGTTTGGTGTTAAATAAATTTTTTTTTCTGAACATTGAATTTCACATTTTTATTAAAAAGTTTACATCATTTGTTGTAAGTCAAAGAGTCCTTTTATTTTAAATCAATGAGGATTTATGACCTTTTACTGTGCCTCTGTTCTATAGTAGCTGCTGTAAAGAGATTCTTTTGAAGGTCATACAGGTTCGTTTATTACCTTGAGTTTGAAAAAAGGAATTAATTTGCTTTGTTTCTGCATTTGTGTTCTACAAATCTAGGTTCAGATATAAGCCTACATTTGTATTTATAGTGATATCTTTCATAGTTGGGAATAATGAGAAGATGGGAGCAGATGGCTGAATTATTGAAGGAATCTTAAGTCATTTCATACTTTTCAGAGACCTAATATACTTGTATTTGTGCTGTTAATTCTAGTCATAAGTTTTAAAAATTTTTCAAGGAATAAGAACTCACATATCAGAAGCCCATTTGGTAAACTCTTGCTCCTTCACGAGTCAGCTCAAGCATTGCCTTCCTGTCAAACCTTCCCTGTCTCTTCTAGGAAGACAGCTATTACCTTCACTATATGCCTACTGCATCTTGTATATATCCCTGCCATGGCACTAATGGTAGTATATTGTAATTTGCTGAATTTGTCTTCTCCACTTGGTTGTGAGCAACTCAAGGGCAAGGGCCAGATTTGTTTTATTCATATTCTTCCTCTAGCCCATCTCCCCAAGCTAGAGCTGAGAGTATACATTGGTGAGTAAGAGAAGATAAAGGTGATGTTTATACTGCAGCTAACTAGCCTTTCTTACTCTGGTTATTGGAGTTGGAAGTGATGCATTTGACATAAGTAGGTACCAATAACTTAAAAATAGGATTAATACTGTGTGTGCTTTGCTTTTTGTTCTTTTTTTTATGTTATTTTTCTTTGTGATTGCAGTTTGTAAAAATGGAATTTCAAGCAGTAGTGATGGCAGTTGGAGGGGGATCACGGATGACAGACCTGACTTCCAGCATTCCTAAACCTCTGCTGCCAGTTGGGAACAAACCTTTAATTTGGTACCCATTGAACCTGCTTGAGCGTGTTGGATTTGAAGGTGAGCTATGGCAATGAGATGTACTCATAAAACTTTTAGGGTGTTTGATCCCAGTGATTTGTTAGTTATATGAGGGTGAGAGAGGATGAATGAGAGAAGACTAGGACTCAATGTTGACTGGAGACTGGCCTCTTTAAATTGGGAACATAGGAGTACTCTGTTGCTGTGTGAAAAAGATTGAGAAGATAGCACTCAGTGTTACTATTTTAGAGCTGGTCTCCACAGTGATCTAAGATGAACCCTGTAAGGATATCAGAAAGAGCAGAGTAGGAATCCAAGCCTCATAGTCAATACTTGCTGAGAATCTGTGCCAGGTAATATATTAAGCACTTGGGTATAGAATTGAAAAGATAACTCAGGCCCTGATTTCCAGAACCTTAAAATCTGGTGGAGAGATGCACATGTATATAGATTATCGTTGTGTAATGTGATAAATGTTATAATAGAAGTACATTATAAGTCCTTGGGAATACAGAGGAAGTTGCTGTTTCTACTTGAGGAATTCAGGGAATGCTTCACAGAGTAGCTGACCCTTGAGTTTAGTCTTGAAAAATAGATTACCAGATCGACCAATGTGGAGAGAGCATTCCATGCAGAATAACATATGCAGAGATACAGAGTCATGATCAGCACAGCATGTTCTGGCAGCTGTTATTCATTCTATGTGGCTTTAATATAAAGTGTAAGGGGAAGGAGTAGATGTAGTGAGAGAGATAAGCAGGGGTCATGTTATAAAGGGCCTTGTGTTCCATGCTGAGGAATTTAAATTTTTTTCCTGAAAGCACTGGGAAACCAATGAAAGTTTTAAACAAAGGTATAATATGGTTAGATTTGTATTTTAGCTACTCTAAGTCTTTTGCATCTTTATATAAATTTTAGAATTAGCTTATCAATTTCTACAAAAAGCATTGCTTGGATTTTGATTTGGATTGAATTGAATCCATAGATCAATAGGAAGAGAATTCACATCTTAACAGTATTGAGCCTTCAGATCCATGAGCATGGTATAGCTTTCCATTTATTTAGGTCTTCTGTAATTTCTCTCAGTATTTATACTTTTCAGTGTACTGGGCTTACACATTTTGTTAAATTTATCTCTAAGTAGTTTGTATTTTTGATACTGTTGTAAATGGTAATTGTTAAATTCCAATTTTCTGTTGTTTGTTGCTAGTACATAAAAATACAATTTTTTTATACTGATCTTATATCCTTCAATTTTGCTAAAGACACTTATTATTAATTCTCATAGCTTTTTGTAGATTCCTCAGGATTTTCTAGTTTGACCTAATTGACATTTATAGAACATTCCACCCAGTAAAACACAATACACATTCTTTTCAAGTGCTCAGAACTTTTACCAAGATAGACCATATTTTTGGAAATAAAACAGGTCTCAATAAATTTATAAGGATTAAAATCATACAAGATGTATTCTCTGACCACAGTAGAGTTAAATTAGAAATCAATAACATAAAGATATCAAGAGAATTCCTAAGTATTTGGAAATTAAAGCACACACTTCTATATAACCCATAGGTCAAAGAAGAAATCACAAGAGAAATTAGAAAATATTTTGAACTTAATGAAAATGAAAATGTGTTAAAATTTGAGGGGTATAGCTAAAGCAGTGTTTAGAGGAAAATTTATAGTGTAAGCACTATATTAGAAAAGAAGAAATGTCTCAAATTATCATCTAAGCTTCTACTTTGAGAAACTAGAAAAAGAGCAAATGAAACCTGAGTAAGTAGAAAGAAGGGATAAAAAATATAATAGCGGAAATAAATGAGAGAAAACAAAAAACATTGGAAAAAATCAGTAAAACCAAAAGCTGGTTCTTTGGAAAAAAAAATCAATAGAATTGTTAGATCTCTAGTAAGATTGATCAGAAAAAAGAGAGAAGAGGGCCAGCCCAGTGGCATAGCAATTAAGTGCGCACGCTTCGCTCTGCGGCCCAAGGTTTGCAGGTTCGGATCCCAGGCGCGCAACGATGCACCGCTTGTCAAGCCATGCTGTGGTGGTGTCCCATATAAAGTAGAGGAAGATGGGCATGGATGTTAGCCCAGGGCCAATCTTCCTCAGCAAAAAGAGGAGGGTTGGCATCGGATGTTAGCTCAGGGCTAATCTTCCTCACACACAAAAAAAGAGAAGATACAAATTACTAATAACAGGAATGAGAGAAGGGACGTCACTACAGATCCTACAGACATTAAAAAGATAACAAGTGAATAATATGAACAACTTTATGGTCATAAATTTAACAACTTAGATTTGCATTTTTAAAAAATTGCTTTGGAAGCTGTATGAAGAAACAGTTTGAGGGAGTCGAGACTACAAGCAGGGAGACAAGTTAGATGATTGATAGAAAAGTCCGCACCAGCAATGAAGAGGGCCTGAACTAAAGCAGTAGCACTAAGGATGGAGAATAGGGAACATTTGATAAAGTTGATGATTAATGGTGAGGGGGAGTGGAAAAGACAGAAGACTTCCCTCTACTTTTTGCTTGGGCAACTAGGTAGATGGTGATGCTAGTAATTAGGAAAGGGAATATGAGACAAAGAAAACGAAGGTGAGTTCAGCTTTGGCCATGGTGAGTTTAAGGTGTCCTGTAGTTAGATATGGCAAATCAGAGTACCAGATGGAGGTGGTACCAGATCCTGGGGCCCAGTCTTGTGATCCAGTGTTCATTCAACTATGAGAATTGCCTTCCTGAGACACACCCATGAACATGTCTATGCAGTAGTCTATATGACATTACTGTTAAGAGAGATGTTTTAGAAGAGATTTTCTTTTTAGAGCTCAATCTCACAGGTGAAGGACACACCTTTTTTTTTTTTTTTTTT